CCCAGAGCAGCCCTGCAGCCCACCGTGCCGCCTCCAGGAAGCTCGCCCGGCTCTAGGAGACAGAGCTCCAACACCCAGGCTCCCCTCCTACCCTCTGCCTCCTTCATTTCTTTAGTTTCTTTCTCTCTTTCTATTGGCAGCATTGTGACTGGGACTCCAGACCTCAACTCTACAACTTGCCACACACACACACACACACACACACACACAACCAGCCCTTTGTGCTTTATTTTTTTCAAGTGGGATCATTTAGCCCCAGTGGCCCTACACAACCCTCCTGCCACCTCTGCCTCCCGTTGAGCTGAGACTACAGATGCTCCCTACCCTACCTAGCTTGTTAGTTGAGATGGGGGCCTCCATAGCTGAGCTCATCTCCCACCGTGAGTCCTCTGCTCCCTCCCTCCCCGCCCCTGGAATCAGTCATGAGCTACCGGGCCCAGCCTCAGTTTCTTTCACGAATTTGCCCACAGCTCCCCTTATAAGCAGCCTCCGATGTCAGGGCTGGGTGAACAGGACTGCGTTTGCTCTTCTGCTTCTGTGGTGCTGAGGAATCGAACCCAGGGCCTCAGGCATGCAAGGCAAGCGCTCTACCACTGAGCCACCTTGCCAGCCCCATGACTGCGTTTGCTCTTTACCACAGTGTCCCGCTGGATGAAGAAACTGAGGCAAGCTGGCTGAGGTTTGCAGCGAGGAGGCCTCCCTGTGAGCATCCTGGGGGACAGGGCCCTCAGCGGTGTGCTCCGGAGGATCGCAGTCCGGCATACAGGTGGTGCTCCATGCACGCCCCCCTCCTGAAGGCATCACACAGGAGCTGCAGGTCTGGCACGGGCCCCGCTCCCCTCCCTGTGCCAGTACCCCCTCCGCCCCCAATCCCAGGGTGAAGGCCTCGGCGGACCCCCAGATTCGCAGAGGAGCTTGCTGTGTGGCCCGCGTGCGGTCTCTGAGTTGCTCCTGGGACGCGCAGCCCAGGAGGAGCTCAGCGCTGGACAATCGACCGCAGCGCGGTCCACGCGCCCGGCTCCGGGGACTGGAGCCTGGGGCCCCTGGGGCACAGCCCTTGCGCATCTGAGAAAATGAGCTCTGGGTAGGCGGGGTCCCTCCAAAGCCAGTCTCCCCCCAGTCACAAGCCCCGCCTCCCTCTGGGAGTTACCAAGAGTCACAAACTGAGATTTGGTGGCCGGGACTCAGTGCAGCCCACAGCCGGGTGGGATGCAAACCGGAGATGGAGGCCTCACCCCACTTGGTCTGCAGGCCGCAGGGGGGGACCCCACGTCTCAGAGCCCCGGTTTGCTCCTACTCACACCGGGTGACCAGGCAGAGAGCCCAGGGAAGATAGCAGGAGGGAGAGGAGACTGGGGACCCCTGCACTCAGATCACCGACCAAAGTTCACCCCAGAAAAGCAAGACACAACCCGGTCACCCGCATTCTCAGGTTGCAAGTGTTATGTGTAGGTGCAGGGGCCCCAGGAGCTTCCATAGAACCTTCTAGCATAATGTGCATGCTGGTTCCACACTCCCCATTCCCTTCCTGGGCTCCAGACCTTTTCCTCATCCAGGAAGTCCCTCCTCGTATCTACCTGCAGTCTTTCCTGCTGCCTAAACACAGACTTCCAGCTGAAGCCTCAGAGACAGGCCCTCCCCAGCCCGGTACACAGCTGATAGTGGCTGGCTCAGGGCCATAATCTTGCTAAGGATTAATTGGCTTTTGTTGGGGAATGAATGCCATCTCATCTTAATCTTCTGCATTATTCTCCTTGTTCTGCAGAGTCAACACAAGATTAGGTTTAATTTACAGGGGGAGAAAAAAATAGAGAAGTCATTACTCACTGGGCGCGCAGGGTCGGATCGGCCTGGGTGTGCAGTGCTCACAGCTGGGGGGGGGGGGGGGGGGGATGGGGACGGGAAGGCCTGGGCTCTGCAGAGGCACAGACCCCAGACCCCTGGGTGCCACCAGCCTGTCCCTGCCCCGCAGGAGACCCAGCTCCAGAGATGAACCTCAGGACCCCTGGGGCTAAGAGCAACTCCAAAGCCCAGGCCCTGAGGACAGACAGCCACTCAGCCCAGAGCAGAGGGGAGAGAGATCTGGGTTTGGATTCGAATCCCACCTCGGAGAATGGACTCGAGCTGGGGCTGGGGTGCCTTGACAATACTGGCACCTTGTGGTCAGTGACGGAACTGCTCCTTCCAGCTCCACAAATCCATGACTATGAATGCTTCACGTTATAAAACTCCGGATTGGAAGGGCGACAGGCTCACGCCTATAACCCCAGCCACTCAGGCTGGGATCTGAGGACTGTGGTTCAAAGCCAGCCCGGGCAGGCAAGTTCGTGAGCCTCTTCTCTCTCTGATTAACCACCAAAAGGCTGGAAATGGAGGTGTGAATCCAATGGTAGAGCAGCGACCCGCCTCCCTTGAGCAGAAAGGCCAAGCAAATAAAGCTGAGTGAGAATCCAAGGCCCTGAGTTCTAGCCCTGGTACTGGCACCAAATATACAGAGGCAGGTTTGCAGGGAAAGCAAATCAATCCAAGAGGCACAGAGGGACATTTTCCCTACAAAATTGCAAAACAATTGCTAAACAAAATCGCAAAACAGAGGCGTTCCCCCCCCAAAAAAAATCTGCATACTTGCTTTTACCTCCCAGCCCCCTGACCAAAATGTCCTGGAAGCCCCTAGCACCTCCTCCTGCTGGGGCCCTAGGATCCGTGTCCCCTTCATCTGTCGCTCTCCATCCATCTGCTCGCCCCGAAACCTCCACAGCCATCTCTGCCCCCTGGGGGGGACCACTGAGCAGATGGACTCAGCCCAAGCACTTAGCACAAGACCCTCCAGCCAGCCCTTGGCACCTACAAAGATCTGTCCCTCCAGGAAACTGATACGTGTCTCCTTTCTACAACGCTGACACCCCAGAGGGCAGAGCACACAGTGAGTCCACCAGAAACTCTTTCAGGGTTGCCAGCTTCCATCTCCAAGTTCATTGCTCCAGCCATTCAGGCTACCTTTCTGATCTGTAAATAAGAGTCATTCATTCCTAGCCCCAGGGCCTTTGCACATGCTGCTCCTGAAGATCTCCCCCAGAAACCTGCTCATCTGATTCCTCTTCAGCATCCCACTCAAGGGTTAACTCTTCAGAGGTCTTTCCTGATCACCTTGATCAGAAAATATTTTTCCCACTCATGTCTCCTACTTTATTTTTCTCTACTTATAGAGGTTCCTGAGTGAGTAGAATCTTACTTTTTTTTTGTACCAGCCATAGGACTTGAATCAGGGCCTGGACACTGTCCCTGAGATTTTTGTGCACAGCTGGCTTTCTACCACTTTGAGCCGCAGCTCTACTTCTGACTTTTTGGTGGTTAATTGGAGAAAAAGGTCTCATAGACTTCCCTGCCTAAGCTGGCTTTGAACCACAATCCTCACATCTCAGCCTCTTGAGGATTAGGATTGCAGACATGAGCCACAGACACCCGGTTTAGAATCTTACTTATATGAATGATTACCTAGCTTTGTGGCCTGAGGCAAGTTACTCTCTGTGCTTTTGTTTTTTCATCTGTAAAAACTGGGAAACATAACGGTGTCCATTTCATAAGGTTATTGTGATATATGTGTGCATACATACCTATAATATTAATTTATAATCTTAGAGCCGTGCTGGTTTGTGTACACTGAGAGCTATATCGTGTTGGTAATTATCTTGGTTTTCTTTACGTTTGATTGATTACATTTACCTTTCTCCTTCTAGACTGTAAATTCTGCAGTGTGCGCTCCATAACCATTGATGAATTAGGAGGCAGCCCAGGGGACACACAGGCCCGGTGGGCCTTTGGCTGTCCCTGTGGGATAGAGCTCCGGCTGCCCCCTGCTGGACAGCTGGGGCCTTGCCTTGAAGGACACGGCTCTCTGCCTTCAGGTAGAGCCGTGGGTGGAGGGAACTGCACAGCCAGGGGTTGGGGCACAGTGGAGCTGATGTCCTGGGTTGGGGCTCTGCGTGTCCCTGGCCCCGAGTGTCTCCCGTCCGTGTGCCCCGTGTGTGCCGCGCAGTGGGGGTGTGGTGAGCCTTCCCGGCGGGACGCGCCTCACACCCGAGACCCCGGCCTCAGGGCCAGCCGCCTGGACGGCTCCATGTCCACTGTCCCTCCAGTGAAAGGTGCTCGGGGCAGCAGCCCGAGCCCAGCCCCCAGATCTCCTCGGTGGGGTCCCTGCCCCCCCCAGAGGCCACAGCAGCCTGGAGGCACAACACCCAGCCTGGGGTGTCTGGTCGGGGTCAGCCTCTCCGCTCCCCCGGGCCCACCCCTCCCCTCCCGCTGCCCTGGCAGCGGAGCCCTGGCAGCTCCCCTCCCCACCCCCCGGGGGTCCCCCCATTCAGAGAGCCCTCCCCCTCCCAGCACCCCTGACCTCCCAGTTCCCCACTGCCCTGGCCAGCCTCCTCCGCGGGCGCGGCGGGAAGGACCGCCATGCCCACCCCTGCGCCCCATTAGCCCAGGGCCCCCGGACACCTCCCAGGGGTGGCACTCCCCTGGGACAGCTGCCTTCGCTCCAGGGCCCCACACGGGGGAGGGGGGGTTCGAATCCTGGGAGAGAAGGAACGCATGGGAGAAGGACCCCCCCCCCCTTGGCTGCACCGCGGCTCAGCCGAGTCCCCCGAGGTCTGAGCGCAGGACCCAGGCCGCCCAGGCCGAGGCCTCCGGCTGGATCCGGTCGTTCCCCAGCCCTCGGGCAGCGGAGGGGGCCCCGGGGCGCAGCCTTCCCCCCCCCCAGCAGCCCCCGGGTCCGGGCAGCTCGGTGCCCGGCAGGCGCCAGGCCCCCGCCCCCCCCCTTAGCCGCACAATCCCAGCCTTTGTCCGCGGCTGCCCAGGCCCCGGCGCCCCTGGAAACGGGATCCCCTGGAACCCCATCAAGTACTTTTCCATCCGGGCCAGGGGCCCTCAGGAGACGGGGTGCAAAGGGGAGGCGTCCGCTCAGCGCCTCTCGGTCCGTCCGTCCGTTCGTTCCTTGGACAAATAGCCTTTATTGAGCGCCGCCCGCAGGCAGGCGCGGGCTAGAGCGCGGGGTCAGCAGCAGGCCCACGGCCCCGGGTCGCACGCGCGGGGGGCTCGGTCTCCCCGCAGCCAACCCCTCTCCCCCCGCGGGGGCCGGCGGGGCGCAAGGGCGGGGCCGGCGAGGATGCACTACCCACTAAGTTAAGGCCTAGCTCCCGGCCTCGGCCCTCCGGGACGGCCGGGGGCGGGGGGTCACTCAGGGCTCCACCCACACGCTGCTGTTGGTCACCCGGGCCCCGAACCAGCCCTTCCAGTACACGGAGTCCTGCCCGGCGTGCTCGAAGCGGACGAAGCGGACGCCCGGCCCGTAGTCGGTGAAGGTGTGCGAGATCTGGGAGGGAGAAGAGAGAGAGTCAACGACCCCGGTGCCGAGGCCACGCCCTCCCCGCGCAGACCACGCCCCCACCACGGTCCCCGCCCTCACCGCGCTGGCTCGACTCTTATAAGACCACGCCTCCGGTGAGGTCACGCTCTCACCTTAAGACCACGCCCTTTACGCCACAGGCCCCGCCCCGTGCAAGCCCCCCGGAGGAGAGCTTCTTTGTGGGCGTGGCTCCCTCCGGCCCCGCCCCCACGGCCTCACCTCCATCCAGCCGCCGTCCTCGCTGTCCTGGGGCACTGCCACCTGCCCGCTGTTGAACTCGGCCAGCACGTCCTCGTGCTCCGACAGCAGCCTCACCGTGAGCTCGTACAGGCAGCCGGCGTCGTTGCGGCCCGAGTACCTGGGAGAGGGGAGGGCAGGGCAGGGACGAAGCAGCACCTGCTGAGCACCTCTGGGACCTGCCCTCCATCCAAGTTCCTGCCAGCTCAGCATCCCTGCCCGGCCAACGTTCAACCAGTGACCCCCGCTTCCCAGATAAAGAAATCAGAAAAGGAAGGGACTGGGCCCGAGATCCAAACCCCAGGTGAGACAGATTACAGTCAAGGAACGGAACCACGTTTTGTTGGGAAGGTGGACTGATTACACACACACACTTATGTGCTAACATTCAAAACACAGGAGAAGCAGGGCGCTACTGGCTCATGTCTGTAATCCTAACTACTCAAGAGGCTGAGATCTGAGGATTGGGATTCGAAGCCAGCCCAGGCAAGAAAATTCCATGAGAGTTTTATCTCCAATTAACCACCAAAAATCCAGAAACGGAACTGTGGTCCGAGTGAGAGAGCTCCAGGCTTGAGTGGAAAAGCTAAGGGACAGTGTCCAAGCCCTGAGTTCAAGCCCCAGCACCGGCACACAAATAACTAAGAAAATAAATAAACAAATGAATATCAGGAGGGAAGATGAAGGTCCACTTTTTCCTAAAGATTGTGGAGCTGATAGAGGGGGTGAGGTTGAACACAGTGCATGAACTCAAGAGTACAACTAATGTTCTGTAATAAAAAAAAAAATAGGTAGGGCTGGGAAGGTGGCTCAGTGGTAGAGCGCTTGCCTCGCATGCATGAGGCCCTGAGTTCGATTCCTCAGCACCACATACACAGAAAAAACGGAAGTGGCGCTGTGGCTCAAGTGGTGGAGCACTAGCCTTGAGCTGAAGAGCTGAGGGACAGCGCCCAGGCCCAGAGTTCAGACCCTGGGACTGCCCCCCCCCAAAAAAAGAAAAATTAAGTGACCACAAATCTGGCCTCCGGCTCCCAGCGCCCTGGCCCCGCCCCCAGCGCCCTGGCCCCGCCCCCAGCGCCTCTCACCAGTCCTTCACCACGATGGCCGGCTGGGTGGTGTCCAGCAGCTCCTCCCAGTAGCCCTCAGCCTGCAGGTCAATGACCTGCGCTTTGCGACACCACCTGCGGGAACCGAGGTCAGGGTGGGGGTCGCGCCCCCTCCCCCTGCCCCGCGCCCCTTCCTTCTCCCTTCCCCCTTACTCGAAGGAGGAGGCGAAGTACTTCTTCACGCTGTCGTCGTGGATGAAGTCCACGCCGCCGTCCCCGGGCATCTCCTCCACCCGCCAGCCGTCCCCGCCGTGCTCCACGTCGCTCCAGCCTTCCAAGTCCTCTGCGGAGCCGGGACAGACCCCGCCCGGGTCAGCGGCCCCGCGGGGGTCCTGGCCATGCATGGGGTGCGCATGCGCGACCCCTGGATGATGGGGGGGGCACGCTGCGGCCTCCCTCCGCCAGGCGCGGCCCCGCCCGCGGGCCTCACCTTCCCCGCAGGGGTTGCGCAGCAGGTTGCGGCGCCGCTTGCTCAGGAAGTAGAAGTGCTGCCAGTGTTCGCGCGAGTCGTCGGCGTCGCCCGCGGGCACCAGCCCCTCCTGCTGGCACTTGAGCAGCCACAGCGGGGCGCCGTCCACCAGCTCCTTCCAGCGCAGGCACACCAGGCGGCAGGCCTGCACCAGCTGCGCCGCGGGCAGCTCGGCCAGCACGCGCAGCAGCAGCGGCTCGGGCAGCTCGGCCAGGTACGCGGCCGCCGCCGCCTCCGCCTCCTCCCCGGGCTGCTCCTCCTCCGCGCTCCCCTCGGCGCTCGCCGCCGCCTCCTCCTCGGGCTGCTCCTCCGGGCTCGCCTCCTCCGGCTGGCCCACGCTCTCTGCGGGTCGAGGGGGAAGGTTCTGACTCCCCTAGCCTGACCCCACTGCAAACCCTAGATCCGTCCTCACCCACAACTGACCAGAGATTCTGCGATTGGGGGGGGGGGACCTGGGCCCAGGGAGGAGACCCAAGAGGCAGACCCCCAGATGGGCTCCCCTCATACTGAAGAAATGACTCAACTGACTTCACACACACACACCCGCAGACCCCTGCAGAGGAAACTGAGGCCCCGTGGCTTTTCTCAGGTCACACCACAGAAGGGATCACTGATGGCAGATGACTCTAGCATGTTACTGTTTTTGTCGGAGGTGAGGAGGCGGAGAGGCACTCCTGGGGCTTGAACTGTGCTGCCCCTGAGCTTTTGTGCTCAAGGCTAGCACTCTACACAGCTCCACTTCTGGCTTCTTTTGGTGACTAATTGGAGATAGGAGTCTTATCGCAGCCAGGCACTAAGTGGCTCACACCTGTAATCCTAGTTCCTCAAGAGGCTGAAATCTGAAGATCATGGTTCAAAGCCAGCTCAAGCAGGAAAGGCTGAGAATGGAGATGTGGGTCAAGTGGTAGAGCACTAGCTTTGAGCACAAAAGCTCATGGACAGCACCCAGGCCCTGAATTCAGGACCTAGGACTAGTACTACCATCACCACCCCCCAAAAAATCTCACAGACTTTCCTGCCCAGGCTAGCTTTGAACTGTGATCCTCAGATCTCAGCCTCCTGAAGAGCTAGGATTACAAATGTGAGCCACTCGTGCCTGGCTCTAGCATTGTTCTTTTTGTCGTTCGTGGGGCTTGAACTCTGGGCCTGGGCGCTTGTCCCTCAGCTCTTCAGCTCAAGGCGAACGCTCTACCACTTGAGCTACACCACCACTTCTGGTTTTCTAGTGGTTTATTAGAGGTAGGAGTCTCACGGTCTCTCCTGCCCGGGCTGGCTTTGAACCGCGATCCTCAGATCTCAGCCTCCTGAGTAGCTAGGATTACAGGCGTTAGCCACCGGCCCCCGGCTCTAGCATTGTTCTAATACTTCAATCCACCAAGGCCCTTGCTCCCCTCCCCTCTTCCAGATGCCTTTCCAGTCCCCTGCCCCCTCTTAAGTCCAGGTTCAAAGTCAGTTAAATGGCTTCCTATCTTTATCCTTGGGTGCAATCCTCTCATAAATGCCTTGGTCTTCAAGGGGTGGCCTGATCTGGAGAAGATCAGAACTGCCTTCTCCCCAGGATGCTTACTGGGATCTTAGCAAATGAGAGGCACCATTCTAAGCATTTCAATTGCTCCTAACATCCTCATACCTCACCACCTTCCAGGGTGCCCCTGTGTTCACCAATGAGGAATCAGGCACCGACAGGTGAAAGGACTGTGGGGAGGGGGGAGGGAGGGTGGTCACAAAACTCTAGCTGAAGTCTACTTTGGCACCCAGAGAGTTTGGCTCCAAGGCCAACTTTGTCACAGTGCCAACAAAAGAATTCATTGAGGCTGGACACAGGTGGCTCCTGCCTGCAATCCTTGCTACTTCAGGAAGCTGAAAGAGAGAGGATCACAGTTTGAGGCCATCCTGGGCCAAAAAAATCCACTGGACTCCATTTCCAAAATAATCAGCAAAAAGCAAGGCTGGAGGTGTGGCTCGGGCAGTAGAGTCACAGCAGAGTAAGCAAACTGAGCAAGTGGAAGGTCCCAAGTGCAAACCCTGAGAAAAATCACTGAATGAATAGGTATGGTTATGATTTTGATTTTGTGGGTGAAATGGGAAGTGATTTGTGGAAGGTTTGACCTGCCAGGATTAGGGAAGGAGACAAGAGGACCCAAGAACTGGGGAGAAATGAGGACAAGACCGGGAGCCCCAACTCTCCCCAGCTGGCCACTCTGTATGGCTCAGGAGCGGTCATCGATCAGAGAGATGTACAGGTGTTTGGGAAAGGACTATGTCACCCCTCATTCTCCCATACCTGACCCCTAGTTTCTTCACCTATGAAAGGGGGGGTTACTATTGTGCCAGGGCATTGGGATGATGCTGTGGTCCTCAGAACACAGTCCCCAGAGGAAAAGGCAAGGCTATTCTCATCCCAAGGCCTGGGCAGATGTCTGGGCCCACGGGACCTGCTCTTGGATTCCAGCCCACCTCATCTGGGCCACCTAAGACTTGAGTAAACAGATACCAAGTTACCAGTATCTCAGGAGGGAGGACCTGAGGGGAGGATTCACAGAACCAGTCTGGATGGGTTGGAGGCTACCCCTCGCTCCCAGACCCAGGGAGGAGGAATTCCAGAGGACCCTGGACAGCCAAGGGAGTGGCTGTTAGGGAGTGGGCAGGGGGCAGACCCCGGGCTGCGGAGGGAAAATGCTGCTCACGGCTCTCTGGGGACCGAGGTCCAGTGTCTTCTCTTTCCAACACCACTCCTGCCCTGCCCTGGCCCCATTGGACACCTGATGCTCCCCGAAAGGTGCACCTCCCTCGGTCCCCTCTCTGGCCCCTAGGCCTGGCGCTGAGGCCCCAGATCCGATTACGGGCCCCAGCCCCCACTCTCACCCACACAAGTCCCCACATTGTTGCTGTCGGAAAGTTATCTGGCTCTGAAAGCGGCCTCTGGGCTGATTCACTTACCTGGGTTGGAGCGGACCAGGGAGTCCAGGGAATAGCTAGGCCTTGGGAAAAATCACAAGCCCTTTCTGGTGCCCCAGTTGCATGGGGGCCAGACTGAGGGGAGGGGGGAGCTGGGGTTTCAGGACTGGAGAAAGGGTTGGCTGCCTAAGTATGCACTTCGGGGTGTGGGTGATGGGTAGGCCGGTTTGTCCTCACCCTGACTCAGCAGGCCCAGCGGGCCACTGGAGACATGGAGGGGGTCTTTGGTGCCAGAAAAGATGACTGGGCAGTCCCGGAGAGCCCGGGGCGCTGGGACTCTACTTCACCCCGAGCATGGTCCTCACTGCGCATGCCCGCCCCCCAGCTTAAGGGCAGCCCCTCCAGAGGGAAGCCCAGGAGAGGGAGGCTGGGATGGGTGGATTCGAGGCCAGGAGTAAATCCAAAAGCCTACAGGAATCCAAGCCGCTCGAGGCTGGAGCTGGCATATGGAAGAAGTTGCTGGAAGAAAAACCTCGCAGGCACCTCCATCCCAGACGCCTGGGGCGGGGAGGGGGGAGGCCCCGCACCCTCTGGAAGCCGGGAGGCCTCCGAGGCCATTTCTGGGCCCCAGGAGTCCTCACTTCCGCCGGTCGCCTCTCCAAGCCCCCCGCCTGGCCGCGACACCGCACGGAAGCCTGCGCTCCGGGGCTGCGTCCCGGGCTTAACGCGCGAGGAAGTTTGCGCGCCGGATCTCGGGGACCCTCTTTGGGGAGCTCGCCCGCCTGCCCCGTCTCCCCTCCGCTCTGGGGCGACTGGATCCAGGCGGCAGCTACCTGGGTCCCCGTCTCCGTCCATCGCTGCGGAGCGCGGTCGCTAGAGGAGGAGGAGGAGAAGGAGGAGCCGAGCGCTGCGGGCGGCGAGTCCCGGCCGGCGACGAGTCCCAGGCGCTGCCCGCGTCTGGCCGGGTCCCGGCGGCCGCGCCTCTTAAAGG